GTCTTGAGCTAACACATATTACACTTGATTTTCATGGAAAATCATTATACAAAAATAGTGTAATGAAATATCCGTATGACCTAGTAACAATTTAATCCGCCAGAACAATACTGTATATATGCGATGCTACACTTATATAAATAAGTATTTTAATTTGAGATGTTATTTCAGTTCATAGCACACAGTATAGCTAGATATAATATAATAGGAGTAGAGCTTTTATAGTAGTTATTAGCACTTTATAGTAGGTATTGTATCATATATTTATCTAAGAAGAATACTACAGTTTCAATTCCTTGGGCCATTTTCTGGAACTTTGTCATGTTATTATTTTTTTGGCTATATATCTTTCAATTGATAGAATTGTTTTTAGTGAGTTTAGAAATGTGTCCAAGGATGGTTTTCTATCATTAATACTAGATAAATATATGAATCTTTTTCCGCAAGAATGATATTATCAATAAAAAGGTAGCCAGTGTTAATCCCCAGTAATATAGTAAATTTTGTAAATAGGATATTAATATTAACAGTGTTTTTAATATATGTACTTAAGTCATTCCAAAAAGTCTGGACAATATCACATGAAACATACACATGTACAATGTCCTCAGATTCTTTTTTACAGAATATACAGTGATCATTATCAATTATTTTCATCTTTACTAGTTCTTTTCTTGTGTAGATAGCTTTGTGAATGAATCTGTACTGAAAATCCAAGAGTTTAATATCCTTAGTACATTTTCTATAATTTAAGAAAATAAGCGTCCCAGGGTATAGCAATATTTATCACAACTTCCCATTTTCTACACACATCAGGCAATCTATCTGATTTGATCAATTTGTCGTGAAATATTCTACAGCCTTTTGAAGGTGTAAGCAGAGTTAATATCGCTTCATTAATACCAAGATTTTGATTTTCTAGTTTATAGTCATTTAATGTGGCTTTCCATGTATTGGGAATACTACTCAAAACTCTATTGTAATCCAAAAAGGTACCTTTAACTTTAAATCTATTCTTAAAGTCATCAAAAGATAGTAGTCCATCAGAGTTACATAAGTCTTTAATCTCAGTAACACCCTTTATTAAACCAACTAGAGATAAACAGAGAAGAGTTAACAAATTGATGGTTTAGCCACAACGGTTCATGAAGTATTTTCTCATAGTCATGTTGATCAATTTTAAAAGATGATATATACCTCACCATGCCTGAAACACATCCTTCCAATAAAGGTTATCCACTTCCTTAGATAGATCACTATTAGCTCCTAATTGGAGTAATGATATAATGGGAACATTGCAAGGGTTATTATGCAGGAGCTCTACAAAGGCATCTTTTCAATGCTGTTATTTTTAGTGAATCGATGAAAGAAAGGATATCTGTCATCCTAATTCCCCCCCCGTGGTCCTTTTTAATGTTACTCTTTTATTTTATCGGGTTTCCCATTCCATAGAAAAGAGAAAAATTTTTGCTCTAAATCTTTAATAAAAGCATTTGGTGGATTAGGTAGAGCTGTGAAGATATGAACCAAGGAGGAAAGAGCTAGAGTTTTAATAACTGTAATTTTCCGATAACAGTTAAATGTCTTCTTCGCCAATTTCCTAATGTGTTCAGTATTTGAGCCATTCTTTTTTGTGTGTTTATGACCCACAGGTCGTTCAACTTAGCATTTAATACTATACCCAACACCTCAAAGTTACCAGAAACCCAATCCAATATATATTCCCTACAGATAATATCTTTACTATTAATCATAGCCCCTAACCATATTGCTTTAGTTTTATCAACATTAATTTTCAATCCAGAGATCCTATAAAAAAGAGAGAGTGTATCCATAGCTGCCTTTAGACTATCCTCTGTGCCATCCAGGAAAAGCTGAGTGTCATCAGCATATTGGCCTAGTTTATATTCCTTACGGTTTAGTACAATACCCTTGATATCAGAATTCCTCCGCACGGATCATAATGCCTAGAATTTCGGCAACAAAAAAAAAAGGTGCGGTGAAATTGGGTCCCCTTGATCTGACAGCCTCTCGAATTAGGGAAAAAGTCAGATAAGTGGCCATTTTGAATGACACATGAAGTGGCATTACTTGTTAAAAGCTTATATCCATTTGAGCATATAGTTGCCAAATCGAACTTTTTCATAACAGAATAGATGAAAGGTTTTGAAACAGTATCAAAGGCCTTTTCAAAGTCAATTAACAGCAGGAGCCCCTTAATGTTTTGTTTTCGAGTTTCAAAATAATGTCATAAAGGAGTCTTATATTTTCACTAATACATCTCCCTGGAATAAAGCCAGTCTGATTTTCCTGTATTAAATAATCGAGGGTACATTTTAATCTATTAGTAATGCAAGCACTAATCAGTTTATACACGAATTCAACAGAGAAATTGGACGCCAGTTTTTAGCAGTTTTCTGTCTTTTCCTTGCTTAGGTATACAAGTTATTACTCCCCTGTTCATAGTTAAAAGTAAGATAATTATTCTTAAACACTTCATTTATATAACTTAAATATCCATTTTCCCAGATCACACCAAAGAATTTGAAAACTCTCTATTGAATATCCATCAATACCGGACTTTTATCGCTTTTCATAGATTTCAAGGCATTTAGTATTTCATTCATATTTATTGGCTCTTCTAGTTTTCTGTCAAAGTGCTTGGAAGAACAGGCACGTTAAGTTCAGATAGTATTTCACTGTGGTCTATCTTGTTATCTTTTTCAGCATATAGATCTTGATAAAATTGTTTTGCCTACACAAAATGTCCTTTTCACAGTAATTAACTCACATCATAGATCTGACAACAGACAGTTAATGGCTTTACTAGTAAATTGTCTGTTTTCAAGGTTACAAAAATATTTTGAAGGTTTTTCAGCCTTCTTCCTGCCATAACATTCTGTTTCTAATTTGGATACCTTTGACCTCTTCCTCTTTGATTTTTCAAGTTCTAACTTATATGTGGATAGATCAGATAAGAGAGCCTCATCTATATTTTTTGAAAGTTCCTACGGATTGTGTCTTCAGTATCAGTTATTTTGGCTTCCAATTTTTTAGTTTTTTCTTTTTTAATTTCTTAATGTAGGAGCTGTAGGATATTGATTTACCTCTAAATATTCATCAACAAAGTTTCCAGAAAGAGACAGTCATCGATATTTAAGAGCAAGTCATTTTCATCAATATTCTTTATATCTTCTCGTATAGTTATTAAATGTATATTGCTGTTTGGCTAGTTCTATCTCGGTCCTTACTATTTTTATGTATTCTTTGTCTCGCAGTAAAGAGGTGTTAAATTTCCAGTAGCCTTTTCCTCTTGTGTTATTATTATTTTTGAAAAAGTAAGTGTTATGGTAGAGTGGTCAGATTTATAACCAGGAAGAATTTCGGTGTCTACTGTCATACAACCAACATCGTGGGAGACCAAAAATCTAACCTGGCTTGCTGTCTAGGTTTTTTTTCCACCAAGTATACTTTCTCGTATTACTATTAAGATCACGCCAGATATCTGTCAAGTTAAGTTGATCTATTTTTTCCAAAATAATATTTCTTGCATTAGGGTTATTAATATGTTTGTAGTTCTCTAGATCTATAGTTGGGTCAAGTACCACATTCCAATCACCACAGAGCACAATTGATTCATTATCGAATGCATCAATTTGATTAAATAGATTTCTATAAAATCTGGCGTGATCTTGAAAGTTAGGGCCATAGATAGTGGCTAGGGTTATTCTTATACCATCGATACTTATGTCAACAATGATGAAATTACCATTCTCATCTTTCTTATATTTATGAATATCGATCTCTCTATCATTGTTAAACAATATTGCAACACCTCTAGAATTTGACCGAAATGGTGATATGATACATTTCAAACCCCATTCATTCCTCATGGTATTCTCGTCTTTTTCAGAGATGTGTATGTCTTGCAGGCATATAACGGTGGCTTTACGCTTTTCTCCAAATGTTCATAATCTCTCTTCTCTTTTTGTTAAGTCAGCTAGTCCCCTACAGTTAGCGAAAACTATTTTAATTTTATTATCCATTTTCAAAGTGAGACATGATATTTAAAAGCAAAACTGTTTTTATTGTTGTCATAGTAAGCAGTCTCATGGGGTGTCTGCTATACCCTCCTATATGCCCATTAAAATGTTTTTTAAGTTTGCTGGAAAATAAAAGAAAAAAAAACTTTGTAGAAAAAGGAAATAAAAGAAACAACATCCGTTATAATGTTGTATATAAGACAGGTTTGACGCTTCCGTCTATTTGCTCCTTAACCTAAAGTGTGACGTGGTTAGGTAATAGCAACAAGCTATAGAATATAAAAGAAAAGTTCAGTGAACATCAAAGTGTGAATATGTGTAAAAGTGTTATATAACAGTCACATCTCAGAATCACACCAATTTCAATGGCGATATCAGAACTTATGATATCTAGTTCACTAGGAAAATTGAAAAGAAAGATCTTACAGGAATAAGGATTCATCAAGCATCAAAGAATTGCTCCCCAACGCTTGGGCCTGAGTTCATGGTTAACAAGTCTTATTTTAGACTTATCTTCGATTCACTAAAAAATTAAGTAAAGGGTAATATAGATACAAGGATTTGAGAACTCAAAAAATAATTTCGATACCTTGGCTAGCTTCATATCAAACTAAGCATGGATTTAGGTACCAAATATCATGTAACAAGCACATCTCAATCTAACATAATGATTTCACTCATTACTTAACTAAGAAATTAGTGGAAAGAAGATGTAAATAAGTTATAGAAGCTTGCTGACTTAGTTGACACATGTCATCATATCCCTACTGTGTAGATTGATGCTCATGTTGTTGATCACTGGATTGTCTGGTCCAAACTCGACTATTCAAAGACAGCCATCATATAGTTGGAATATTGCTGAGTTCAATGTTAAACAACGAACCAAAAACAATCTCAGATAGTATCATGTAAGACTAGTTTTATCATGTTATTCCATTTCACTGTTTAATGTTTTAGACAATGTCGCAGACAACATTTGTGAAGCTGGACACTGCGACCAGGAATTACTGTTTCCTGCAGACAACACTAAGAGACGGTGGGAAGGAAGGGTTCCAACTGATGGTCACTGATGGGGAAAACATCTGGAGTGGAGACTGTACGTAAACCACGACAACAAGGGTTGTTGGATTGTCCAACTGTAGACTAACGCTTAGTCTCTGAATATATATAAGTTTCACAGCAACTAAAATCCAATTTAATGTGAGTGATTTTAGTTCCACACCAATTTTAGCAATATTCCAGAAATAGGCTTTTGTGAGTGTTTACATTGATGTTTTTGTGACGGCAGTGACAGAGGACAACATAGACAGCCTCAGCACCAAAGCTAAGATGGACTACAACACCTATGTCTCTCAGACAGCCAAGGCATTTACACAACAAAACCTAGGCGGGATGCAGTTTGAGTTTCAGATGAAAACAAGGGGAGATGACTCTGTCGACTTTATTTGGAAGAAGCATGTTCCAGCTGACGAAATCAAGGTAGGGAATTGAATATTGGGATAAAAATAGAAACAGCAGCAGGAGATGTGGCAACACCAAGATTATAAATTATTCAGAGCTTATATATATGTATTGGTATTAATATAAAATAATACCACAGTTTTGTTTTAAATTTTGGCTGTATTTCGCAGCTCTTGATATTTTGTTTAGTTCAATAATGATTTTATGATTATTCTATGATTAAACAAAAGGTAACTCTAGCAATGAGAAGTTTAAGTTGCAGACCAAAGTCCATGTGCACTTATGTACAATACTGTATAAAAAGGGTGTTTTGTCAAGTTTGAGACCGGAATCGATTGCAAAACTTTACTTTGTTTTCTTTGAATACAAAGAGTCTTGAGTAATCTCATTGCAATAAAGTATTTACATTATTTACAATGATGTACGTTTTATTCCAGTGCAGTTTGGTGAAAATTTACATTTGTGGAAGGTTCTTGGCTTGTATTAATATAGTATGACAGTAATGTATACCGTCAGCAGATATTCCATTGCTGAGCTGTTTTTTAATTTGGTCGAAGTTTGATGATATGATGATGTACATTTGAAAAACACAATATCATCCAGTCACTGGCTACCAGGTTTCTCACAGTGTGCTCGATCTTTTCTGTGAATGCTGCTAGCCCAACAACTTATTCTGGTATGCCGTACACAGAATCAGTTTTTACTGCCTTACATTGTGATGGCCCTGAAAATGATATTTAGTTGAATGAAAAACTAACCGACCTGTTAGATTTAATTGCTGTATCATTTATGCTGAAATAGAATGAAAATATTGTAATATAAGCTGGATGATGACTGTTCCTTTACAGTTCCAGCTAGGCAGCGTCACCCTGTACATGAAGGACGATCCAGCTCGGTGTATTCGCCAGATGTTCCAACAGAACATCACAACCACCTTAAGTCTTCAGGAACGCATCCATTCTCTAGACACAGACAATGCACGTCTATCTCAGGAGAGGGCTATGGCCCTCAAGGTACATTTAACACATCTAATTCAGCCGAAGGTTTTGCTATGAGCTTTGTAATGTCTGAACCAATCAATCAATCAAAACTTTGTTTCTGTACAAAGGCCATCGGGCCCATATACATACAGTTTCATACATTATAATACAGTTTGCATATATGTATGCACACCCATCTGCATACATGTATACAGGTAATCTGAACATACAATACAGGTTAATATGGGTAAAGCAGATAAAGATATGATATGATAATACAAAAGTATTATATGGTATTTAATATTATCATTCTTGTAATAGCTTATATCTTCGTTCATAGGAAATCATTATATATAGGCTGAGCATTTTCAAACTATGTACGTTATTTGTCATAAGTAGCTTCTTAAAGTTATGCATATTCGTTTTGAAATCACTTGGTAAATATTTACGACGTAAGTCATCATATCTAGGACAAATGAAAGTAAAATGGTATTCGTCTTCTACACCTCCGTAACAGATAGGACACGTTCTCAAATTTGCGTTAATTGTACACCATCGTCCTTCATTAAATTTCAACCTTAGTAATCCAGCTGTAAATCTAACTAAATATTTATGTAATTTATAATCTGCAATTTCAAAAAGGTATTTTTCAGGGTTTAATAAACTTTTGAATTCTCAATACAAAACAAAATGTGTGCTATTGTCAAGATCAGATCTCCAGTTTTGTTTAACAACATCCACTAAACGCGTTTTGAAGATTCCGACAAAACTTACACGATTACCAACAGTTTGTGATAACCAAACAAATCCAAATCCATAAGAAAAGAGCAAATAGCGAATTTTTGAAGCCCATGTCTCATAGCCAAGGTTGTCGAGATTAAGTAACATTTCATAAGCTTTCTTTGGTATGCAATCTTTGTGCATTGTTATTATTATAATCCAGTAGTTAAGACAACGAACAGCTGCATTTACAAAAATAGGGAAACGGACACATTCACCATACACAATAGCGTTAGGTGTCTGAGGTCCAACGTTTAGGTATAATTTGCAAGCCGAAAGATGTATTTTCTCAATACATTCATATTTTTTATATCTTGAGTTTCTGATATCTTATTCATGAAAATTGCCCATTGTGTTAAACGAGTGTTTAATATGCTGGTATGTAATTTGCTTAAAATACTTAACAATGAAATGCCCCTAAAGTTATCTGGCTTGTGGATATCACCCTTCTTGTGTAATGGAATAATTATTGCTTTACTCCAAGCATCTGGAAAGCTGCCGCTCTCAAATAATGTATTAAATAATACGAGAAGGAAATGGCATAACGACCTTTTCCGATAATTTAATCATTTCTGCTAGTATATTGTCGACCCCAGGCGATTTACCAATTTTTAACCGTTTAATAGCATCGAAAATTTCTTCTTCTTTAATTGGAGAATCCAAAATCTGGTTCTCCAAATCGCTTGATTCAGGACATATATTTGCAGCACATGTAACAAAAGTATCTTGATCCTGGTCAGTAAGATCAGTTTTATCATACAGTAATTTGAAGTGATTAAACCATGATTCATCAGAAATATTGGGTGGTGGTTTCCTTGGATTAGATATATTTCTCAGTTCCTTCCAAAATGATTTAGGATTGTGTCTAGAGTTATATAACTTTCTGGCTGTTAGCTGTTGGTTTATTCTTTATTCAAATATTGGCATTAATATCACCATGGCCACTTTTCTTATTAAGGTCAGTGTAATGATTGGACAACCATTCTGAAAATATGTGAAAAGACTGCCGCTACGTAGATAATGTGTTTTCACATTCAAATATCAAAATGAGTCAATATATGCATAAATACTTTTATCATTTTATATTTTCATAATCCAAAATCATTCTTCAACTTTTCGAGTTTGTAAACAATAATAGTGTCAGGAATATAAAAAGAGGCTTTATCTGTAGACTGACTGAATTTGGTTTTACGCCGCTTTTAGCAATATTCCAGCAACATCACGGCGGGGGACACCAGAAATGGGCTTCACACATTGTACCCATGTGGGGATTCAACCGGGTCTTCGGCGTGACGAACCAACGCTTTAACCGCTAGGCTACCCCACCGCCCCCTTTAGCTGTAGAGTCACAGATATTGGTGATATCACTTGATTGTGACATCCTTGTGTACAGCAATGTCACTGTTCTGCAAAGCGTTGTAATGGTTATCGATGATCTCATCAAGCGATATCTCCTTTTTTGGATGATATAGTAGAGTTCCGGATATTTATCATACCTGGGTGTGGAGATGTGGAGACTGGATGATTGGTGATGTAGAGTGTAAACTTAGCTTGTACTCGCACACTTGTCATGTTATTGCCTCAGGGAAAGGATTTAGATTCAAGCTTGTTGTGACATTACATCCGTGATGTTGAAGGTTACTGTTGTTGTTTCAGAGGCTGGACAAATGTATCACCGCTAAGGAGGAGGTGGAGAGAGATCTGTATGAGAAGGTGAGGTGTTTGGATGGTGGGCTTGCTTACTTGGTTGATGCATGTCATGGTGTCCCAGTTGTGTTGATGAATGCTCATGATATCAATCACTGGATTGTTTACAGATTGCTGTCATAGAGCTGAGATATTGTCAAGTGCTGCATTAAACATTGAGATATGATGAATCAAATGATTATTGAGATATGATGGATGATTCCTGTGTAATGGGTTGAGTGGTAAGTGATCTCAGAGTTGAGTGATTACTGAGTTGAGTGATTACTGACTAATGAGTTGGGTGATTACTCAGTGATTACTCTGAGTAGTAATGAGTGAGAGTAATGAGTTGATTACTGAGAAGTAATGAGTTGGGTGATTACTGAGTAATGAGTTGAGTGATTACTGAGTAATGAGTTGAGTGATTACTGAGTAAATGAGTTGGGTGATTACTGAGTAATGAGTTGAGTGATTACTGAGTAATGAGTTGAGTGATTACTGAGTAGTAATGAGTTGAGTGATTACTGAGTAATGAGTTGAGTGATTACTGAGTAATGAGTTGGGTGATTACTGAGTAATGAGTTGAGTGATTACTGAGTAATGAGTTGAGAGTTGAGTTTAGTGATTACTGAGTAGTAATGAGTTGATTACTGAGTAATGAGTTTAGTGATTACTGAGTAGTAATGAGTTGAGTGATTATTGAGTAGTGATGATTACTGTTGAGTGATTACTGAGTAGTAATGAGTTGAGTGATTACTGAGTTACTGATTACTGAGTAATGAGTTGGGTGATTACTAGTAGTAATGAGTTGGGTGATTACTGAGTAATGAGTTGAGTGATTACTGAGTACCGAGTTGAGTGATTACTGAGTAATGAGTTGGGTGATTACTGAGTAATCAGTTGAGTGATTAATGACATGAATGGAGTGATTACTGTTATGATTTGAGCGGTTACTGAGTTATCTACTGATACTCTTTCAGAGATAAAACTGTCAGTCATTGTCTTTGATCATGGTAGACAAAACTTTCTTGTTTATTATTTATATCTATTGTTCTGTTTTGTCTTTTCAGTTTGTAACAGTTCTCAACAGCAAAAAGGATAAAATTCGAGCTTTGAAACAACAAAGTAAGTTCTGTGGTGTGTTATTTTGTGTGTTGGATGGTCACAGTGTTTGTCGATCATTATGAGAACTTTGTACATCTACGAAGCGACATTGGTTATGCTGTTGCATCTGCCATAAAAGTTCTGAGTACTGTGTTGGGTTTCAAACCCTGGACTGTTTTGATCCGATGGTCGGACACATTGTCCACATGACCTAACCTGCCAAGGTAAGGATATATTCAGTGCAGTGACTCTACTCCCTGCTATGCTATCACTGGTTGTTGTGGGCAAAACTTGGTTAATTTCAGGCCCACAAGATGTTGCTGACGATGGCCTTAATCAGCTTTCTCTCATAATTTGTCAGCAACATTTGTTTATTTGACACAGCACTGTATCATATTTTAATTGTTTCAAGAGTAGGAAGCCCTGTACCATGAAGGTTCATAGTTAGTATTGATAACATAAACCTAATCAGAAATATGTAGGATTTGTCAACACTGTTCCTCCAGCCAAAGACTGTTACCTTTAAATGTGACTACTGATTCTAAAATATGAACTCTAAAAATTTGAATATCATGAATTAAAGCTAAGCTGGTTTTACCAGTTTTAGAAAGTGTCATTTTGGCTTGTGGAATTTCCAACATTTTGGACTGACTGACTGAGTTTGGTTTTACGCCTCTTTTAGCAATATTCCAGCAACATCACTGCGGAAATGGGACACCAGAAATGGGCTTCACTCATTGTACCCATGTGGGGATTCGAACCCAGGTCTTCGGCGTGACGAGCCAACGCTTTAACCACCAGACTACCCCACCGCCCCCAACATTTTGGAGGTGCTCATATGTGTTTACTTCAGGATCAAAGATTGTCATGATCTGTATGTCATGTGAGATGTTTGTTTATTACAGTAGAAGGTGGCGTCCCATCATCCTCCAGTGTCAGAGGTAGGTTAGTTGTGTTTGTAGCCTGTAGGTTTAATGATGAATGAAAGTGTTAGGGTACAAGATTGTATTTCAGTTAGTTGTGAAGATGTGGCTGTGCTCATTACCTTAACACCTTGGAGTTTTGGATATTTTTTCAGATGAATATAGAAATTTTGAATGTAGAAGTTTTGTTTACATTCTTATATGCTTGATAACAGTATAAGCATCTACTCCAAGACATTGCATCCATTGCAATCAAGAAGTTGTCTATCCATGAAAAATCGTTCCTGTTCATCATCCCCGTTTCTAAAGTAAAAATTCTAATACAAATTCGCGACTAACGGGATAGGGTGGTCAGGTTCGCTGACTTGGTTGACGCATGTCGTCGGTTCCCAATTGCGCAGATTGATGGTCATGCTGTTGATCACTGGATTGTGTGGTCCAGGCTCGGATTATTTACAGACCGCCGCCATATAGCTGGAATATTGCTGAGTGTGGCATAAAACTAGACTCACTCACTAATATGAATTCAGAGACCGCCTCCGTGGTTTTAGTGGTTAGAGCGTCCGCCCGGAGAGCGGAAGGTCGCGGGTTCGATCCCCGACCACGTCATACCAAAAGACGTTAAACTATGGTAATTGTTGGTCCCTGCCTGGCGCTTGGCATTATGGGTACAACAAGGACTGGTCGGCTCGGAGTCAGTATAATGTGTCTGAGTGGGGTATTCATGCTTCACTGCGGCATGGTATCTCAGTGGGCTAGCACTATAAAAGGAGCTTAGGTCTGGGCTAGTACAAGCAGCCGCACATACACATACACACGCATGCACGTCGTCATATGAGCGAAATATTCTCAAGCACGACGTTAAACCCAACTTCACGTCACCTATGAATTCAGAAGTAGAGGTTTATACAACATTGCTGAATGTTCTTGACTTGATGTGCCCTGTGACATCAGTGATGTTTGGTGGGACAGTGTGGTATGTCGACAGACTAGTCAGAGGATATTGCTGATGTTGCAATGTTCTTGACTTGATGTGTCCTGTGACATCAGTGATGTTTGGTGGGACAGTGTGGTATGTCGACAGACTAGTCAGAGGATGTTGCTGATGTTGCACAGACTGTGGTATGTCGACAGACTAGTCAGAGGATGTTGCTGATGTTGCAATGTTTTTGACTTGATGTGTCCTGTGACATCAGTGATGTTTGGTGGGACAGTGTGGTATGTCGACAGACTAGTCAGAGGATATTGCTGATGTTGCAATGTTCTTGACTTGATGTGCCCTGTGACATCAGTGATGTTTGGTGGAACAGTGTGGTATGTCGACAGACTAGTCAGATGATGTTGCTAATGTTGCAGATAATGCCAGGCCTGGTACATCTGGTGTGGGAGATGCTGGAGTGTCAGATGAGTCAGAAAACGAGGACGTCACCAACAGCATCAGCTCCACCTCCCGGATCCCAGGAGAAAGGTAGTGTGTGAAATTATCCGTTCTTTCCGATCATGGCACTTAGCCTGGAGGTTGACACTATGTGTGTCTATTCCTCTGCATTTTTCTATAAGGAGGATAAATTTTAACATGGAGATAAAATAACTGTCATGTTTTAAGAGGATATCTTAGATGAAATTAATTATTTTGTAATACACTTAAACAATTAAGGGGAGATAATTGAGGGTACTCTTGAATAGGAATATCTTTCATAATACATCTATCTTCAATTGCTATGTCAATGTGATTTTAAACTAGTGTCTTGTATTAACGTGTGCATTACTGTAACCATATTGTCAAAGATAGATTGGTAGCTTAGTGGGTGAAGTGTTCGCTTGTCACATCAAAGTCCTGCTTTCGATTCTCAACATAGGTACAATGTGTGAAGCCCATTTCTGGAGCCCCGATCATGATATTGCTGTAGTATTGCTAGAGTGGTGTAAATGCAACTCCTATTGTTTGACTTTGCAGTGTTGCTGAGGAGGAAAATACAGATGAGGAATCTGTAAGTGTTTGTTGGATTAACTGCCTTTTTCTGGCAGGGTTCTGTTATATCTAGTATATTATGGTCCTTCAGTGATCTTGGATAGGTCTTATGTCTCATCATTAATGACTGTTTGAAACCACATCATCTGGTACTAGTTAGTGGTGTTCCGATTAATTGAAATAATCGAAAATTGGTCGCTGACCAAACGACCAAGCAATCGATCACATTTTCTCATAATCGAACATAAACGATTTTGGAACTACTGTTTTAGTCTTTGAAATACTTGACAATGGAACATATCTTAGAAATTGGCAGGGCCTGAAAACGTGTTTAATTCTTAGAAAACTCACTTCACTAACTGAAAAGCCATGACTGAATATATTTCTTGAAGACTCCAGGAAGTTTATGTGCATGATATATAAGTCATCACTTTAAAGTAGCAAGTTGCATCATGTTATACATATCTGCAGTAACAACCTGGATAGGAAAATCTGAAAAATGACGCTAACCAATTTTTTTCGATGATTGTTCGTTGGTAATGAAGCAATCATCAATTGTGAGATTTCAACCAATTCCCAACACTAGTACTAGTATAACAGTACATCTTTAGTTGTACACCTATATCAGTTTATCAGTTGTGATGTAACAATGGTAGTGGAAGTAATACATCTATCTGAGTAATTAGTTTATCTGGTGAGGGGGGCAGTAGGGTAGCCCAGTGGTTAAAACGTTCACTCATCACGCGGAAGACCCGGGTTCGATTTCCCACATCGGTACAACATGTGAAGCAAATTTCTGATGTCCCCCGCCATGATATTGCTGGAATATTGCTAAAAGCGGTGCATAACTAAAGCCACTCATTACCTGGTCAGGTTAAGGGAACGGTTCATTCTGTTTACAGTAGAAGTCTAGGATTATGATGAACCCATTACATTGTTGATATAAGTTTATGGAGACCAATCTATTTAGTCTGTCAACATCAGCAATGCTGCAACTGTTGAGTGGGATGTACATGATGATGTATATGGGATGTTGTAGCAGCCTGCGCCATCCAAACGGAGACGTCGGGCTCCAGTGGGTCGGACCACAAAGAAGGAAGCAGATTCCTCACTTGTGTTAGAAGATGAACCTGACAGAGCAGTTACTACAGTGGCACGGAGGTAAGGGGTGTTGTTGGGTGAGATAAGGCTACTGTTTGGGCGATAAGGGTGCTGTTGGGAGATAAGGTACTGTTGGGGAGATTAGGGTACTGTTGGGAGATAAGGGTACTGTTGGGGAGATAATGGTACTGTTGGGGAGATAAGGGTACTGCTGGGAGATAAGGGTACTGTTGGGGAGATAAGTGTACTGTTGGGAGATAAGGGTACTGTTGGGGAGATAAGGGTACTGTTTGGGAGATAAGTGTACTGTTTGGGAGATAAGGGTACTGTTGGGAGATAAGTGTACTGTTTGGGAGATAAGGGTACTGTTGGGAGATAAGTGTTCTGTTTGGGAGATAAGGGTACTGTTGAGAGATAAGGTACTGTTGGGAGATAAGTGTACTGTTTGGGAGATAAGGGTACTGTTGGGAGATTAGTGTACTGTTGGGAGATAAGGCATATGGGGAGATAAGGTACTGTTGGGGAGATAATGGTACTGTTGAGGGAGATAAGGGTACTACTGTTGGGAGATAAGTGTACTGTTTAGGAGATAAGGGTACTGTTTGGGAGATAAGGGTACTGTTGAGGGAGATAAGGGTACTGTTGGGAGATAAGGGTACTGTTGGGAGATAAGGGTACTGTTGGGAGATAAGGTGTACTGGGGAGATAAGTACTGTTGGGAGATAAGGGTACTGTTGGAGATAATGGGAGATAAGGTTGGGATAACTGTTTGGGAGATAAGATACTGTTGGGAGATAAGGGTACTGTTGGGAGATAAGGGTACTGTAAGGAGATAAAGGGTACTGTTGGGAGATAAGGGTACTGTTGGGGAGATAAGGGTACTGTTGGGAGATAAGGGTACTGTTGGGATATATGTACTGTTGGGAGATAAGGGTACTGTTGGGGAGATAAGGGTACTGTTGGGAGATAAGGGTACTGTTGGGGAGATAAGGGTACTGTTGGGAGATAAGGGTACTGTTGGGGAGATAAGGGTACTGTTGGGAGATAAGGGTACTGTTGGGAGATAAGGGTACTGTTGGGGAGATAAGGGTACTGTTGGGGAGATAAGGGTACTGTTGGGAGATAAGGGTACTGTTGGGAGATAAGGGTACTGTTAAAGATAATGGGTACTGTTGGGGGTAGATAAGGGTACTGTTGGGAGATAAGGGTACTGTTGGGGAGATAAGGGTACTGTTGGGGAGATAAGGGTACTGTTGGGGAGATAAGGGTACTGTTGGGGAGATAAGGGTACTGTTGGGAGATAAGGGTACTGTTGGGAGATAAATAAGGTTGGGGAGAGATAAGGGTACTGCACTGTTGGGGAGAGATAAGGGTACTGTTGGGGAGATAAGGGTACTGTTGGGAGATAAGGGTACCGTGTTTGGAGATAAGGGGTACTGTTGGGAGATAAGGGTACTGTTGGGGAGATAAGGGTACTGTTGGGAGATAAGGGTACTGTTGGGAGATAAGGGTACTGTTGGGAGATAAGGGTACTGTTGGGAGATAAGGGTACTGTTGGGGAGATAAGGGTACTGTTGGGAGATAATGGTACTGTTGGGGAGATAAGGGTACTGTTGGGAGATAAGGGTACTGTTGGGAGATAAGGGGGAGATACTGTTGGGGAGATAAGGGTACTGTTGGGAGATAATGGTACTGTTGGGAGATAAGGGTACTGTTGGGAGATAAGGGTACTGTTGGGAGATAAGGGTACTGTTTGGGAGATAAGGGTACTGTTGGGAGATAAGGGTACTGTTGGGGAGATAAGGGTACTGTTGGGGAGATAAGGGTACTGTTGGGAGATAATGGTACTGTCGAGGGAGATAAGGGTACTGTTGGGAGATAAGGGTACTGTCAAGGGAGATAAGTGTACTGTTGGGAGATAATGGTACTGTTGGGAGATAAGGGTACTGTTGGGGAGATAAGTGTACTGTTGGGAGATAAGGGTACTGTTGGGAGATAAGTGTACTGTTGGGAGATAATGGTACTGTTTGGGAGATAAATGTACTGTTGGGAGATAAGGGTACTGTTGGGAGATAAGGGTACTGTTGGGAGATAAGGGTACTGTTGGGAGATAAGGTGTGGGAGATAAGGGTACTGTTGGGAGATAAGGGTACTGTCAATAAAAGGAGATAAGTGTACTGTTGGGAGATAAGGGTACTGTTGGGAGATAAGGGTACTGTTGGGAGATAAGGGTACTGTTGGGGAGATAAGGGTACTGTTGGGAGATAAGGTACTGTTGGGGAGATAAGTGTACTGTTGAGGGAGATAAGGGTACTGTTGGGGAGATAAGTGTACTGTTGGGAGATAATGGTACTGTTGGGGAGATAAGTGTACTGTTGGGAGATAAGGGTACTGTTGGGAGATAAGTGTACTGTTGGCGAGATAATGGTACTGTCGAGGGAGATAAGGGTGCTGTTTAGGAGATTAGGGTACTGTTGGGAGATAAGGGTACTGTCGAGGAAGATAAGGGTACTGTTTCCTTCTATATATTTCACAAACTCTATAATGTTCCATTACACCCTTGTAGACCCGCCAGACAGAGAGGAGCCAACAAGAAACAGACACCATCCAAGCCAGTGCTCCCCAAAGTCACCTCCAAGCGATCAGATAGCGGCGGGTAAGTGGTGCAGTCTACTGAGACCAGTAGACTCACATGCAGTACTTCACTCTCTTTCACCTCACCTCCCTAATGTATCATTACAATCTAGACAGTTCATCTGTGTAGAATCGTCCATAGTGATTGTGGCATAGTCTGATTCCCCACACTAGTACAATGTGTGATGGTCTGTCTTGATGACATCAGCTGCAAAATGGCAAACAGTTTTATAAGAGCATATATTTTCAGACAAGACAGTGGCCCGATTTTCATTGATAATCTAACAATCTGACTCGTGTCATCCACTGTCCTTCTGTCCTTCCTCAGCTCCAGCGGGCCAGACCGGAGAAGTAGCATGAGGAAGAGCAGTTCCCACTCCTCAAACAGATCCTCAGACAACCAAGATCCAGAAGATCTGTTTGCAGACCTGGAATAGACAGACCTTTCAGCATCCCTTGCAAGGAGCAGAGAGCATAGTAGTTTGTGTGGTCGGAGTGAGTGAGTGAGTGAGTTTTACACCGCACTCAGCAATATCCCAGCTATATGGCAGTGGTCTGTAAATAATCGAGTCTGGACCAGACAATCCAGTGATCAACAGCATGAGCATCGATCTGCGCAATTGGGAACCGATGACATGTGTCAACCAAGTCAGCGAAACTGACCACCCGATCCCGTTAGTCGCCTCTTACAACAAGCATAGGCGCCTTTTATGGCAAGCACATGGGTTGCTGTAGACCTATTCTACCCCGGATCTTCACGGGTCTTGTGTGGTCGGATCAGGAATGTTACAGTTGTATTGTGTGTTGAGATCAGCAATGTTACAGCTGCATTGTGTCTTGAGATCAGCAATGTTACAGCTGTATTGTGTCTTGAGATCAGCAATGTTACAGCTGTATTGTGTGTTGAGATCAGCAATGTTACAGCTGTATTGTGTGTTGAGATCAGCAATGTTACAGCTGCATTGTGTCTTGAGATCAGCAATGTTACAGCTGTATTCTTGTGTTGAGATCAGCAATGTTACAGCTGTATTGTGTGTTGAAATCAGCAATGTTACAGCTGTATTCTTGTGTTGAGATCAGCAATGTTACAGCTGTATTGTCTCTTGAGATCAGCAATGTTACAGCTGTATTCTTGTGTTGAGATCAGCAATGTTACAGCTGTATTGTGTGTTGAAATCAGCAATGTTACAGCTGTATTCTTGTGTTGAAATCAGCAATGTTACAGCTGTATTGTGTGTGTTGAAATCAGCAATGTTACAGCTGTATTCTTGTGTTGAAATCAGCAATGTTACAGCTGTATTGTGTGTGTTGAGATCAGCAATGTTACAGCTGTATTCTTGTGTTGAGATCCGCAATGTTACAGCTGTATTCTTGTGTTGAAATCAGCAATGTTACAGCTGTATTGTGTGTGTTGAAATCAGCAATGTTACAGCTGTATTCTTGTGTTGTTGAAATCACAGCTGTATTCTTGTGTTGAAATCAGCAATGTTACAGCTGTATTCTTGTGTTGAAATCAGCAATGTTACAGCTGTATTGTGTGTTGAAATCAGCAATGTTACAGCTGTATTGTGTGTTGAGATCAGCAATGTTACAGCTGTATTCTTGTGTTGATCAGCAATGTTACAGCTGTATTGTGTTGAGATCAGCAATGTTACAGCTGTATTGTGTGTTGAAATCAGCAATGTTACAGCTGTATTGTGTGTTGAAATCAGCAATGTTACAGCTGTATTGTATGTTGAGATCAGCAATGTTACTGCTTTATTGTGTGTTGAAATCAGCTATGTTACAGCTGTATGTGAGAGGGTGGATTGTAGTGATAAATATTTCAACTGTAGCGAAGGCAAGATGAAATAATCCAACATTGGTTGATTGACTTTCTGGGTATGATGATGCAATCAACCATCACGCATCATAGTGAACACTAAGTCTTATGACCTCAATAACTGCCTGTCATCCATGATATGAAGTCAAATAATAGGGGTGATGAATAAAGTCATGGAGTAACAAGAGCTGTTACATTTGGAGCTGTTCTGTGAAGAATACGTTTGCATGTTTTCTGGTTATCTTGGTTAATAAAGTGCCTTAACAAGTTACAAGAAAGCATAGGTTTGCAGGCATTTACTTTAAGAAATCAGGGAAAGTATTCAGTGTGTTTGGTGGTCCATATTTGTGGTGTGAGAATGGTTGTATCTGCACTTCACCTAATGAGAAATAGAATGTCATGATATGTTTGGGGTGTTTCAGGACCAAGAATACTTTCTCCGTGTATTTTGTTGATGTACGTATATGGTGTTACATATATATGTATTACAAACCCAGTATCATGTATGGTGAGATAAGGGTCCCATCTTTTCCATCCTTACTGCCACCCTCCCTCCCATCTAACTGACCCCTCCAACTCAACCATCCATCCACCCCACCTATCCTCCCCACCCAACTACACCACCCACCCACACCCTGCTATTCCTCGTCCATCCACCCGTCCCATACATCCCCCCATCCATCTACACCAACCATCCACATCACCCACCCCATCCATCTACACCAACCATCCACATCACCCACCCCATCCATCTACACCAACCATCCACATCACCCACCCCATCCATCTACACCAACCATCCACATCCCCATCCAACCACCCCATCCATCTACACCAACCCATCCCATCCATCCACCCCCATCCATCTACACCAACCATCCACACTCCACCCCATCCCATCCATCTACACCAACCATCCATCGCCACCCATACCATCCATCCATGTCACCCACCCCATCCATCCATCCACACATCCACCCATCCCATCCACCCCACCCACCCCATCCATCTACCATCCAACCATCCATGTCACCCACCCCATCCATCCACCCCATCTCCACGTTACCACACCTACATCCAGACCTTGCCTCTTCTCATCCATCCATCCCACCCAACCTATCTACTCGTCACATCCATCTACCCCACCCACCCACACTGCCCCTCCACTCGTCCATCCTCCCAACTTATGCTACCACCCCATCCATCCACCCCACCCATCTCCCCTACCCACCTCCCCTACCCACCCACTCCACTCATCCAGCCAATCTATCTATTCCAATCTATCCACGCATCCTTTCCATCCCAACCCCATCTACCCCTCACTTCCACTTTACTCATGCATTTACCCCTCCATCCACCCCATCCTTTTATGTACCCCACCCTTTTGTCCCACCCAGTCAACAAGAGGCAGCATCTGTGTTTAGATTCTTAAGATGTAAGTGTTTATGTACTAGTTAACGTATTGTGTGTAGCTCATATATGTAGTGCTGTAGAACATTTTAGATTGTATGCAAGATTTTCATATACAACACTGTGATTATTGTGACTGAAAAAATGAATTGATACCATTTTATTCCAAGTCTTTATATGTGTTTTACAAGACTTCATACAGCGTTGCTACAACAACCAGACCTAGGATAATAAAACATAATACAATACAATACAACATATCTGTTTGTTGTACCAGTGTATGTAATCACTTAGTCGAAACTTCATAATGCTTGCAAGTTCATCTTGAAAGTACTGTTCAAATATCTGTTAGCTTAAACGTATATCTTATACTTCAGCAAACAGTTTATACAAACTCCGAGCCCTGGCCTGTGGATCTCTGCAGGGCTGATTATAAAATATTACAAACAATTTGATAATTGTAAATGAATTTCATAAGTCCATAATTATTTGTGGTGATATTCTATTCCCCGTCTGAATCCCTTGAGCAACCAATTCTCCATCTCGTTCAGTAAAATGTTTTCTTTGTTTACTGTTTAACACTGCACTCAACAATATTCCAGCTATAAGACAGCAGTCTGTGAATAATCTAGACATGACAATCCAGTGATCAACAGCATGAGCATCGATCTCTGCAAGTGGGATATGATGACATGTGTCAACCAAGTCAGCAAGCCTGACCACCAAGATCCCATTAGTCGCCTCTTACGACAAGCATGGGTTGCTGAAGACCAATTCTAACCCGGATCTTCATGGGAGACAAGCATTGGTTGCTGAAGACCAATTCCAACCTGGATCTTCACAGGAGACAAGCATGGGTTGCTGAAGACCAATTCTAACCCGGATCTTCACAGGAGACAAGCATGGGTTGCTGAAGACCAATTCTAACCCGGATCTTCACAGGAGACAAGCATGGGTTGCTGAAGACCAATTCTAACCCGGATCTTCATGGGAGACAAGTATGGGTTGCTGAAGACCAATTCTAACCCGGATCTTCACAGGAGACAAGCATGGGTTGCTGAAGACCAATTCTAACCCGGATCTTCATGGGAGACAAGCATGGGTTGCTGAAGACCAATTCTAACCCGGATCTTCACAGGAGACAAGCATGGGTTGCTGAAGACCAATTCCAACCCGGATCTTCATGGGTGAGTAAAATGTAAGTTGGGTCCTCCAGGATAACACAACCCCTTCCACATAAAAAAATATAAATACTCGTACCGGAGATGAACGATAAACAACACAACATTGTTTCATTATGGCTTTGTATTTATTTCTTCATATCTCTACCACATGTGTTACATTCCTGGAAGATTCAGGCACTTGACGTTTATAATAAGAACAAAATATCTCTGTTGGTATATCCTAGTCTGACCTCATCATGAGGCGATAGAGACAAGTACATAATATCACTACCACTAAACCTCAACAACAGTTTGGGGACCTCGACTACCAGATCAAGGTAACAAACAACCAGTCATGACGTACCCAAAGGCAAAATTAGCTGTTATGCTGATACTTAACAGATGTTTAGAGTCAATAAGGTTTTACACAGCTTTTAGCAATTTTTCAGCAATAGCAAGGAACACCAGATATGGGCTTCCCACGTTCTACCTGAAGGAATCAAACCTGGGTCTTCAGCAAGATGAGTAAATGCTTTAACCACTAGGCTACCCAACCGCACCCGATTAAAATCCAGTGTCATTTGTAAAAATAAATGTAGCCAAAGTATTTTTTAATTCAGGTTTGTGTGTCATCTAATGTTTGCTTGTTCCAGAGTGTATTGGCAGAGCTAATCTTTTATAGATAAGAAGGTTTAGAAGCAGAGAACTTATATCATCTTATATCATCATATCATCATGTAAGTAATCAAGTCTGGACCAGACAGTCCAGTGATGAACAGAATGAGCATCTATCCAACTGGGATATGATGACATGTGTCAACCAAGTCAGCGAGCCTGACCACCCGATCCCATTAGTTGCCTCTTACGACAAGCATTGGTTACTGAAGATCAATTCTAACCTGGATCTTCATTGTGTACCAACATACATAATATTTATCAACCTGCAGATCTCTGTACATTAAGATTATCATTAATTTTCAGTTGTTGTATTTACATGATTACAGGGCAGATACTATCAGTTGCACAACTAATTATGGATAGAAGTTTTCTGTTGGTAATCTAAGGTTATGTTGTGCTGCTGTACAAAAAACAGGCTTTATGACAATGATGTAATAGAGGTATCCTGAATTAACAATTACGTAATTGATGATTACAGTTAATTGTGCCTTTGAGTATATGTGACAAGTAGTTGTTGTACAATAG